AGGGTTTAGGGTTTCCAGACTCTGGACCCTTTAAGCCACCCGAGACCGTAAACCCTAAACCCTCTTGTCTGGAGGCTTTCGTCGTCCGCATCCCTGAGGGCGACCCACGCCGGGGGCGCTTTCAGCAACTGAGTCGAGCGCTTCTTGCCTCTAGAATCTCCATCGGCTAAGAAAAACTGCGCTTACGGGGTTGTATAGGGCTTAAAGCTTAAGGTAGTTATAGGGTTTAGGGTTTCAGGTTTAGGGTTTGGTTTTATGTTTTGACGGCATGCAAGGTTTAGAGTGTTCGAGTGAAGCGAATCGTAAGGTTTGTTTGTTGTTTTTGCCCCTTGGGCGTTGGGGCTTATGGTTTGGGGATTTAGGCTTTGAGGGTTCGTGGGTCCATCGATGTTGGCTCTGGTGATGTAGAGTTTGGGATCCTAAAACCCTAAAGCCGAAAACCTGATCCTCAATGTAAGATGATCCTGGACATGTTTTTGGTGCACGGCCTTAACAGGTCTTGATTGAAGTTCAATACGATGTCAGTGTTTTAGTCTGCGATTCAGAATGTGAGAAGCTATAAACGGTGCTCCCCTAAACCCCAACCGCCGGGTGTGTCATTGCCAAGGCGCGGGTTTAGAGTTTCGGGTTTCCGGTTTTCGGGTCACATCGGGTTAGAGTTTCAGGAGTGTGGCGTGTCGGCAACAGCTTGCACTCCGTCCCAGAGTCCAATACAAAGGGAGCAACTATGAGCGACTGCAATCCAATCATTGCGCTCGTGGTGCTGGCTCTTGTGGTGCTCCGTCGCGAAGATGAACCACCGGCAGCATCCGCCACCCTCAGAGACTCCTGGTTAAATGCTTCCGCGGAGGTGTGCGCAGCTGGGTATTTCCAAGAGCATGTACGAGTTCTTCTGTTCTATCCATTCGTGATTAGTTGTGGCAGGGCATTTGTCGGTCTCGCGGTTTCCTTGCCAAGGCTGACCGACTTGTTGCAAAGCTGCATGAGGGTGGTTGCGAGATGGGCGGCAAAGGGCTTTGGTCATACCGCGCGTCCAAAGCCCTTTCTGGCATCCTGTCGGAGGAGCTTGACTCACCCACCTACGTCACGGTCAGCTTCCGAAACGGCCTGGCAGACCCGCTGCACTGGTATGGCGGCGTGGGGCAACGGAGGCCGAAGTGCTGGAAGCTTTTGTGTTGCCGGGCCACGGCTTGACACCCTTGAATGTGGCCGCCGTCAGGGACAGTGTTGCTGTTTGGCGCACGTGACAGCTCATCATCGTTTCCCATCCATCCCTTTTTACGCTGCGTCTGCTTCCACATCCAAACAACAATTTGTAATGAGTGGGAGAACTTGGAGACAGTCAGCCAAAAGAGCCATTGAGTACAACACCGTGTCAGTGAGCGGAATGAGCAGCTGAAGAAGGAATGATTGGGTGCCAGTGAGCCCCCCATTCAAGCGCCCACTCGTTCAGTCGCCTAGAGCCTAAAGTCCTGTCCTCTTCTCATGCCACCAACCCACAGGCTCCAATCCAGTTCTTTAGCTGCTTCTTGATAATGCAGATAGAATTCCTCACATCACCACGCATATGCACGTGTGCGTGCACACCTAGGGAACTGTACGTAGAGGGTGGACGAGGCAGCGGATTTCTAGAGAGAGAGAGAGAGAGAGAGAGAGAGAGTCAGTCAGAGAGCGGTGTGGAAGGGCAGAGAGAGGGGAGGGTCTGTTTTGTGGGCTGGTTTACCAGCAGACCAGGCCCAGGTCCCTCGGACCACTGGGCAGCCAGCAGGGTGTGGTGCAGCCAAAGTTTGTCAACATGACAGGAGCATCGTTGCTGGCGGGTAGCGGCCAGGCCGATCGTATACATGATGGACCATTACGAGGGCCAAATCCAAACATCGGTTCTGGCGGGAAGCCGCCCGCTCCGGAACTTACCCAAATTCCCAAACACTGAAGCACGAAAGCTGTGGCCTCGCCAGACTGATGGCAGCACCGTGCTCGCCGCAATGCGTGGCAGCAAGGTCCTGGGCGGGTTGGTCTTCCAACGGTGCCCGAGTGGCACCTATGTCGCGCTGCGGAGAAGAGTGGCAGAGGTCGGGTTCCAGATGTGTAACCCCATGATGAATGTTGGCGAGCAATATCGCTGCAGGCATTGCGTTGGTGGAGGAAGTTTTGGTGCCGGCCCGCCAAAATGGCGGCAATATTGTATCCTTGTGTTTGGCTTCCTGCTGTCATGTTCTTGCTTTGAGAGAGCACAAGGCGCCAAGAAGACGCAGATTTTGAGGTGTGTTGCTCATGTTTACGGGGTAAAGTTGAAGCTTAGCAGAAAAAAATTTCGGGCTTAGCAAACGTTCTACGACCACCGTTGGGAAATCCTTGAGCCGTCCTGGCCATGCACTATGTGTTTAGGGTTCAAAGTTGATAGAGAGGGGCCCACCACGAAGTGTTACAATCAATCGGTCAAAGCATCAGAAGAAGCTTTTACCTGTTTGCATTAGCCCCCGATATAATCCATGCCCGGGGCAGCTCGAGAAGTACCGCGCATGTACACCCGAAGACGCAAACCCTAAGCCAAAAGCACCAATCCCCAAGCCATGACCCCGAACCTAAACCCTGGACCCAATTTAAAGAAGGACCCCTGGGAAGTAGCACCGGGGAATTTAGGTTTCGAAGAAAAGCCCCAGCCGACGTAGCATCTGTCCCGAACCCCCAAACCCTTATCTCAACTGCCACCATGAAAACAGGCCGGATCCCTCGGAACATTCAGATTTCATGCTTGTGGGGGCTTGGGAGGCTTGGCGGGGCCAGAGATCTGATAAACCATGCGCAAACGTACTCCTGAGCAGTTTCAAGCTAGGCACTCAAAGTTTGAAAGACTCCTGAACCTCAGACCATAAACTTTTTAAGGCTGTAAGAGCTACCGTAATCCCCATAGTAGGTAACCCTTCTCGATCCTTGTAGTAACCCGTATAAACACCTTGGTGCAGACCCTTACAGTAACCTAGAGTAACCAAACATCGAGGCTCTACGTCCCAGCGGTGACGACGATGCCAGGCACCATCAATTATGGTGTTGCTAGGGGGGTAAGGGGGTCCAGATGTTGCGGTTTAGGAATGCGGGGACTTTGGCCTAAACCCTACACACTAAACCCTCGACCCTAAACCCTAGACCCGAAAACCCCCGCTTCTTTCAGGCTTTGCGAGGCTCGGGGCTTCAGGCTTTGCGGCCTGCGGATTCGAGGGCCTGCGCTCCACATATCCTTCTACGTCATGCATGGAGGTTGTTCAACACTGAAGTGAAGCTTCATCCTCAAACCCCACATGATGTCCTGGGCTTGCATTATGCCATAAACCCGAAACCCCAAACGATTTAGCGTTTAAAGTCTTTGATTTTTTCGCGACAGAGTCTCCTCGACGAATGACAAACTTTGAGTGGACCCTAAACCCTTGTAAGGCCCTGAACCACTTATCAGCCCCAAACAAAGCCCTTGTCACAAGCACATACAGCGACACAGAACCTTATCAAGCCTTTCCTAAACCCCCTAAACGTGAACACTAAACCCTAAACCCTGGCATACACCCTGAAACCTAAGAGCCCTAAGAACCCCAAAGGGCCCTGAAAACAGGCCCGGCGGTGGCCCCGCACCTGAAGGGAGCTGATTTGGATGCCCACGGCCAAGCCGTCCTCGATGAGGCCGGCGGCGGATTTAGCTGTTGTTTTTTTTCTAAAGGGTTCTTTAAAGGGCTCTTTACGGATTTATTTAAGGGTTCCTGTAGGGGCGTTCCTTTCATCGTAAAGGTTCCTTCAAGGGGGTTCCTTTACGGAGTTCAGACGGACGGTTTTGATGCAAGTGCTGGGACTTCTGAGCACCGAGCCCGAGAAGTCCGTACGAAACAGTTGAAGTTTTTTTGTGGCTTTTGGGGGTTTCCTAGGGTGCTTAGGCAATACCCGACGAAGCTCTCACCCTGAATCCGAGTTGAAGACACGTGGAGGTACTGTCTTCCCAGGCGCTTGAGGCACTATCTCGGCAGCTGCAAGAGTCCAGCATGCGTCTCGGGCCGATTGGGTTAGGGTTTAGGGTTTTGGGCTTCGGGCTTAGGCTTGAGGGTTTAGGGGCTTAGGGTTTGGTGGTTAGGGCTTCAGGGTTTAGGGTTTAGGGCTTTAGGGCTTTAGGGCTTTAGGGTTTAGTGGTTAGGGCTTTGGGGTTTAGGGTTCAGGGGTTTAAGGGTTTAGGGTTTGGTGGTAAGGGCTCTAGGGATCATTATGGTGGGCACCAGTCAGAGTAGTGTGTAAACCGACAGGAGGCACACGGGTTTCAGGAGTGATAGCAAAGGCAAGTGGAAGCGGCGATGCCGATAAGGTGGACGTCGGATGTTTACGAACACCCCAAACCCTCAACCCTAAATTCTGAACCCTGACGAACACTGCAGTTTAAAGTTTACCTATAGTCTCCATTGTAGTTCCTTTTTTGGGGTTACCTTATAGGATCCTAAAAATCATAAACTTGGTTAAGCCAAAAGAAGGAACTACAATGGAGACTACAGGTAGGGGTCTAAACCCTGAACCCTAAACCCTGAACCCTACACCCTAAACCGGCTCTCGGCCCGAACTTTCAGCCTTCCACCCGAAGAAGGCTCCAAACATCATGAGCTAATCCCTAATCCTAACAAAAGGGTCTACATAATCGTGTCTCAGTATCGTCCCTATACAGTTCGGGGGTTCATGCACACCCCTAAACCGTAAACCCTAAATCCTAAACCCTAAACCCTAAACCCTAACCTGTTCTAATGATTAAGGCACGGTCTGGTGTTTAATGCAGTAAGAGAGGGGCCTCAACAGTTGGAATAGGGTTCAGGGGTATAATTCTACTAAGGAGCCCCCCAAATAGTAGAGGTACTTATTTAGGCCCCAACATTAGGGTTTAGGGTATGACAGTCCCCCGGATTCAGTCTCACACTCTGGGGTCTTGGAGGTCTTTGGTTTTAGGGTTTTTAGGGTTTTTAGGGTTTTAGGGTTCTGGGTTTTTAGGAGTTTAGGGTTTAGGGCTTTAGGGTTTTAGGGCTTCAGGGTTTTAGGGCTTTAGGGTTTTAGGGTTTAGGGTTTGGGGTGTAGGGTCCTGCAAGGGCCGAGGCCCCCAAACACTGCAGTCCGAGAGGCACCTAGGGTTTAGGGTTTAGGGTTTAGGGTTTAGGGTTTAGGGCTTAGGACAAACTCCGACGCCTCAGCCCACATCCCTGGTCTTGCAACACCCAGCCCCAAGATTTAGGGTTAAGGGTTTAGGGGGTGTCGGGTTTAGGGTTTGGGGTTTAGGGTTTAGGGTCGGTTTAGGGTAAAGGGCTTAGGGTTTAGGGTTTATGTTCATTGTAAAGCCTACTATATGTCCAAAGTACAGCCAGAAGCTCGAATCCACTTCAAGCTTTTCTTGAAATTAAGTACACGAAAGCTAGATAAGCCCTGAACCCTAAATCCTATATCCCGAATCCTAAAGCTTAAACCCAACCCACCATTGCGTCTCGGCCTAGGTACTTCCACCGGGAAGAAACTGGGACCTACTTGGTTGCCCTCTGGGAGGACTGAATACGCTCCTGTTGTGGGGTCCGCTTAAAGAGTAGGTCTAAGGTTTATTGTTAGGGCTTTTCGGTTTCGGGTATAAGGCTAGGGTTCCTTCGCAGCTTCTGCAATGCTTGGCCAGGACTGACTAGTGCCAGTGGTCTCAATCTCAAAACTCCAGCCTGCCAAACTCCTGTCATTTTTGCTTTTAAAAAATAGCGTTACTATGAGTACTATAAGCATAACTACCACACTATTATACGTAATGCAATTACTAGAAGCCCACTCCGCCGACTGCAAGGGTTCAATCAGAATCGCGGCGTAGGACGGTCTCGCTTCACCACTCCTCTGGCAGATTGCGATGGAGCTCATCGAGGCAGGGTATAGGCCTTAGGGTTTAGGGTCTTAGGGTTTAGGGTCTTGGGCGTAGGGTTTAGGGCTCAGGGTCGTTTCGGGTGTGGGCTTTCTGGGGCTTCGGCATAAGTATAAGGGGGCCCAAAAATTCTAATCTAAAATCCCTCTAAAGGAGCACTTTAAAGGAAGCCTCTTCGAGTTCTGAAGGCCCCAAAATTAAAATTAGGCTCTGGGGTTTCCGAATGGGCTTCCTGGACCCCGTGCCCCAGAGCCTTAGCGAAAGCGCTTCGGAAGGAGGGTCGCGGGGGTTCCTCCGATGCTTCAACAGCCCTGCACGGTTTAGGGTTTAGGGTGGAGGGCTTAGGGTTTAGTAGGGTGTAGCGTAGGGTTTAGGGTTTAGGGTTTAGGGCATAGGGTTTTAGGGTTTAGGGTTTAGGGTTTAAGGGTTTTAGGCAGGGTTTGAGGGTCTGAGCCCCCAATGCCGTAATCGCATCTTCGGCACCGGCGGCAAGGCTTTCCACTCTTTCAGGGACACTCGCATAGCCCAGTGTAGAGAAATTAATAGGGAGCAGGTTCAGGTAGGACTCCAAACCCTAACTTAACTGAGAACCCGAAATCCTAGCCCCTGAGCCTTAAACCCTATAAATCCTGAACCTCAAACCCCAAACCCTAAAACCCTACACCCAAATCGGCTATGTCTCGGCCCAGTATGTCCCACGAGTCCATGCGCAGGCCCTGCCGGCACTGGAAGACCACTTCCTCTGTGAGACGAAGGCCTACAAGGCAAGAGCTTCAGGGCTCTTGAGTCTTAGGGTTTAGGGTTCAGGTTTGGGGTTTAAGGTTGAGGGATTAGGGTTTAGGGTTTAGGTTTGGAGTTTAAGGTTTAGGGTTTAGGGTTTAAGGGTTTACGGGTTCAGCTCTACTTCATGGGTAGTGATAAGCAGGTTGATGAGCACCTTTTCAGGGGTAAGGAAGGCGCACTCTCGCCACCTTCAGCCCAACATTTTCAGCCCTGCACCGTAAGCGCTAAAACCTGACTGCAAACCCTAAACCCTAAACTCGAAGCCCTAAACCCCAAGCCCTAAACCCTAAAGCCCAAATCCTAAACCCTAAGCCCAAAGCCCTGAACCATAAACTTTGAGCGTGGAAGTGTGAGGGTTCAGGGTTTGGGGTTTTGCATATGAGGCTTGGGGTTTCGTTTATGGTTTAGGGTTCATGCTTTCAGGGTTTAGAGTTTAGGTTTTAGGGTTTAGGGCTTAGGGGTTAGGCTTAGGGTTTGGGGTGCAGGTCGTCGGTTCAACAACTTAGTTTAGTCTGACTCGCGCCACAACAAGGACAGCACATGCTTTACTTTATGTCTTGAACTAAGTTCGGAAGCGGTTTCGTTAAGGGGATCCTTTAAGGGTTTCTTTAAAGGATCCTTGAAGGCTTCTTTCAAGGGTTCCTGTAAGAGATCCTTTAAGTGTTCCCTTAGGCGTTCCTTTAGGGGTTGCTTTAAGGGATCCTTGAAAATACATCCTCTAGGGTTTTAGGGTTTAGGGTCGTGAGGGTTTGGGGTTTAGGGTTTAGGGCTGATCCAGAGGGTTTTAGGGTTTAGTAAGGGGCTACGGGGGGTTTAGGTTTTAGGTTTTAGGGTTTAGGGTTTAGGGTTTAGGGTTTAGAGTTTAGGGCTTAGGGTTTGGGGGTTTAGGGTTTAGTAGGGGGCTCTGGAACCCTGAACTAAACGGCTTTATGATCTTTGGAGCTTGAAGCTTGGAGTTTGCAGCTATCTCCTGCGGAACCCGTGTTTTTTTTTGTTGTGGGTGCTTTTTT